AAGAGTAAGGAAAGGTGTAGACACATCATATCTACTCACGAAGAGTGTCCACCCTACAATCTCCCATTCACATTCATTAGCTTCATTTGTTCATTCTTTTCAAGTGTGTGTCTGTGAGTGTGTACATGTGAGCACACCTTCCACATAATCACCCTTTTCATGACATTGACTTCTAATCATGCTTACATCTTCATTCATCACATTTCACACACTAGCATGTTTCACGTATACACATACTCCATTTAGACATATCTACACAAACTATACAGTTCAAGCTTCGTAAATCATATAAACATGAACATCAACATTATCGCTTCACTTCACATACTATGCCTTCAAGGACATACTCACAATACACATATAAATACATATTCATATACTTTAAGTAAACACCGCCACCAAAGGTGTACCATACCACTCAAGAACATTTCAATGGAAACTATACAAGATAGAGCAACTTACACTTCATCCAACCTTTCACTACCTTTCATCAATATTTCATCTAATCAACATAATATAGCATGTATAGGCAGTAGCTAACCCAAAATAAATCAAAAGAAACTCAACTCTAACATTATCTAGCTTAAAGCAATACACTCACTTCATAAGCCAGAAGTTGATAATAAGTATAAACATGATTTCATTGGGGTTTTGACATTAAAATCATTATATAATACTAATAACTACTCATTTTAATCATCAAAACATTTTCATGCAAAGACCCATACTCAGAGTCAAGCAATAAGGAAGTTGAAGTTTGAAAACCCTTTTTGAAATCTCTTTGAAGTGGCTCCTTGAATGAAAGAAAGTTGAAGGATGACCACCATACCTCAATATGAAGAAACCCACGAAATTTGGTGAAGAAACTTGAAGAACGACCTTCTTCCTTGGAGCTTGAAGCTTCTTGAAATGGATTTTGGAGGAAAGGTTTTGGAGTGATTTTTGATTTGAACTTGAGGGTTTGAATTGATAGGTGAAATGGGGTTTAAAGTGACCTAGAAAATTCCACAAATTATCCCTACAGTTTCGGAAAGACCCTTACACCAATTGGACCCTTTTCCATAATCTAACTTGACTTAACTACGCGGCCAAATGTGGGACTTGGCTGCGCGTCACAGAGGAAGCTCCTGATTTTGCCTCTCAACATTTTGAGGCACTGGACCTAGTGCCACTTGCGCGACGCATAGGTAGATTCAGTGCCAGGCGCGCGATGCGAAGTGGCCTTCACATCTTAGCCCTGCATGCTGCATTGGGCAGCTTCCCTGTCCAACGTTTGGGTCCTCCTTGGGACCCTTATAGTGGTACCTGAGGATTCGTACTCAAACCTTTTAACCCTTGGTACATCCCTCTAGGTGCTAAGGTCATCCCCACTGGTTTTAGACAGCAAACAGCACCTAAAAACATGCACCAACATCAAGGACATACTAGCACATTCCAAGGCACATCTTCCGAAAGTCATGAACGTTCTTGGACGTTTGACCTCCAAACATCACCAAACTTTAGACACTACCTAAAGACATCATTATAAACCATTTAAGGACTTAAAAAGCTCTATACACACCTTCTTAGATCTAGTTCAACCTAGTTCATTTTAGGGGTATTACAATACATCAACAAAACTAGGATTAGCAAAGTTTAATACAATTCTCATAACAAGAAAAGCTAAACATGACTATGTCCTCGAATCAATTGGGGACATACCACAACTTGCTTAAATAGATACTAATCCAAGTTTCACTTCAAATGAATCCTCTCAAATGCCACCTGTAACTTTAGAGATAAACATTATATGGAATTAGTACTGTAGAATGCACTAAGTATGGTGACATGCAATAAAATCATGCTAAAAGTATATTTGAGTTATAATATGCTTTCATGCTCTTTTTGATAGAAAACCTCATCACAAGTATAGGAAACCATTTACACGTGATCATATACATATATAGTCAGATTCCAAGTAATCCACAATATAACATCAACATCACTTCAAACCATATAAGCATATAACCCTTTTACCAAAGGTTATCCTAAGACTTACTTAAGTGAGACAAGAAAAGACCGCTCATACACCCTCTCCAAGCACACCTAAATAATCCTTAAGGCACCTAAGATAAGATTATTCTCATTTCATCATTAGAATGCCTACCTAGAATTACTCGAAGATTCACCTAAGTAAGACATGAAGAGATCCTCATACACCCTATTCAATCCTATCTAAGCAATCCTTAAAGCTACTCTTGATAAGTACCTTTTCATTTCCATGCATTAACTTAGTCAATCAATAGTTATTAAGACACTTACGAGACATTCACATAGGAGACTTCATATAATGGTCTGAGAAGACCTAGGGAAACCACATATTAGCACCTTCAGAGTCTACTCGTGCAATGTATAGATAGCGTCCCATTCCACTACCTACACTTTGTAGAACTTATCGCTACTATAATGCATCCCACGTGATGAGAATAGACATTAACCGACACAGACCATACTAGCTAGGCATAGAATCCAGAGTCTACCCTACTCCGATGGAGGGTGTTGTACTTGCCAAGGGTAGAACTAGGACACATCTCATGTAGGCACATGGTTAAAGAATATCAATGGTTTCTTTATACGCTAGTATCAACTTAAGTAGAGTCACTCCCCTATCATATTCACTCGGTATTAGCCATGGTCTCATAGAGTAAGTTCAATCACATACGAAACATATGAAGAGGTACCATATTTTAGTCATTACCTAATCATAACACTCCTACCAAAGATGGGTCCACTACAACTACCACACAATGGTAACTAGGATAACTCAATGAATTTCTTAAGGATGGTTTCATGTCATTCCAGCCAACCTACCCCTAAGTCATCATTCACACAAGAAGGATATCATTACAACTTTCAACTTCAAGGATATCATATCTTTTTATTTAGTTTGAAGGTTCAAAGTTATAACCCTCGTAACCATGTTCAAGGTCATATTTCAATCATATATTCACACATATGATGAAGGTGCTTTAGCATACTTAGTCAAGAGTCATATTCATATTCTTTCATGCATCAAGTACAGGGACATACGTCTACCAAACCAAGACACACATATCATCTTCTTATCACATGTACAATCACATTCAAGTAGCACATAGGGACAACCAAGTCTACTACAAGTAACCCTATCCATTTTTATAGAGACATAAAAATAGTTCATCATGGGACTCATATAGTCAACTAGGAAGAATCACAGTTCAACATCAAGTATACACATATGAAGACATCACCATAGTCGACTATAAACACATATCATCAACTAGAAGGACTCATGCTTTCACTTCACATGTACACATAAGTCATGTAAGCTTTCACAATGATTACCTATACAAGCTATAACATGATAACATCACAATTCATAAAGTAATGCCGACAAAGCCACATTCTTCACAATTATATCATATAAGCACTGTCACCATAAGTGGACCATACCAATCATCACCATTCAAATATCTATACTACACTATAGAAGAGGTTATGTCAACATATCACCATTCCATCATCAACACCTCCAATCCTTAGTCAATCCAACCATTTCAATCCACAAATGCTCTTACCAATAGCCATACACACCAATCCAAACCAATTACCAAACCATACATAGAATGATCCAACATAATACAACATGAAAATAATCAAATTAAGGTAGCCTACATACAACTCTAACATGATCTATATATAATTCAATAGCCCAATATAAATTACACAAGAATTCAATACAACAGAGTTATTATCACAACACCCATAATATAGCCAAAATTAGGGTTTCATGATTTGCATGGGTTCATAAGGAATTTGATCTAAAATCATTCAATTAACATTAATTAACAAAAAGGTCATTAATAGGGCTTTAAGGCCTCATTTGTTTCAACTAAGACTAAGAGGTCTGAATATGAATACACATCTGAATATTAAGATTAGAATTAAGATTTGAGTGTTTTGATTTGAATACACATCTGAATATTAATATGTGGTCTGTAAATCTGAAGACTAAATAATAATGCTGTTTGTTTTCAATATTTGAATATGCAGGTGAAATTGAACATAATATTAATAAAACATTATAAATTTTTCATTTCAACAAAACATATCACTTTTGATAAAAAAAAGTTTTAATAATCATGATTTGGAGTACTATTTATTCATTCAAAAACTTTGATAAACAATAGTACACCAAAAATATTATTGCAATCAGTGTTCTTGACACACATCAATACAAAAATATTATTGATATAAAAGAAATATTTGAAAGAATTCATGAAAACTTACCAATTCAAGAGGGAAAAAATTGTGTATGATTGAGAAAAGAGAGAAATAAAGTTTTTAGCTATGAATAAAAGGCACGCCCAAAGTGCAGAAGTGATAATTTATTATTTGATAAATTATCAAATAAGTCTGAATGTTGTTAAGAGTCTACCACAAATTTGATTTGTTTAGACATCTTTAGACTCATTAAGAGGTTTTTTAAAAAATTAAACAAATGAACTTAATGGGCTGAATCTGAATGATTTAGATTAACACCTTAAATCCAAACATACTTAATAGGCTGAATATGAATGATTAAAAGTCAAACCTTCATTAAGTGCAAACAAATGAGGCCTAAGTAAGATGCATGAACATTTGTGGAAATTACATTACAAATTGGGATATGTAGATAAATAATACTCCTTCTGTTTCCAAAAGGATGACCTAGTTTGACTTGAAACGAAGTTTAAGAAAAGAAAGAAGATCTTTTAATCTTATGGTTCAAAATTAAAGTTATGTCAAAAGTATCAAAATATCGTTTGATTTTGTAGTTTTAAACACGCCACGTGAAAAATTAAAGTTAAACCATTGCCAAAAAAGAAAAATGATCTTTTTTTTGAAACAGACTAAAAATGAAATAAAGTCATTTTTTTTGATACGATGAGAGTAATACGTTTTGGTTATAAATAAATGGGATTGTTTGAAAGCATTGTGGTTAATACTCTTTTGGTTTCTTGTGTCCAGAAAAATAAATAGTCTCATCTTATCCCGCGAAAAAAGAAAGGAAATAGATAGTAATACCCTAACGGCGAGCGACGGAGAATGTCTTATGTACCTCCTCACCTGAGAAATTCTGCTGCCGGAAAAACCACTACCACCCCTACTATAAACAGTATAGGCGCCGATCACTTCTCTTCCAAACACACATCCAGAATTTCTTCTCTCGAAAAGTCTTCCAACGGTTACTCCAGTTCAGCTCGCCGGAGTTCCCTCAATTACTCCTTGCCCAACACTTTTGCTGTCCCTGACCCCATCTTTCCTCACTGGAAGCCTTCCGAACGTGTTCTTCGTCTTAAATCCGAGCAGGTTCCTCGCTAAAAAGTTCTTTTTTTCATCTTCTTAGGGTTTTGTGAAATATATGTTATAATTTATTCCATCTGAAAACTTTTCCAAAATGGCTGCTTAATTTAGTTTGTGTTGCTTCAAATCTTACCTTATTTCTTGTTTAGCTTCAAATTAGTGCCAATACACTGCGCTAATTGGCAGTTGAACTGGATTCTACAAACACTGCATGATATTTTTGTGCTGTAATTTTTTTTACTCTCAGATTTATTTCTCAGTTATTCTCTTCACATACTTTTATCTTTAGGCCTTCATTGCGCATTATAATTATTATCATTTTCTGACCAACTTTGGATATTTCAATTTTACAACACAGTTATATAACTTTTACTACAAAAAGATAATGTTATGATCCTGATTTACGTCCTTGATGTGCATTTTTGTGTGCAGATAGAAGAGATTCGACTGCGGCTTAATGTAGATGTCAATGTTTCTCCAGTCTCATGTCCTGCACCCTCACCTATTGAGTCATTTCCTGATATGGTTTGTTGAATTCATTATTCTGACAAATCACTCTATTGGGTTCTCTATATAAGGCCATAATTTAAAGTATTTGGACCCTGGTTGTTTCTTCTCTCTGCAGTGCTTGCATGCAAGTATAATGAAGGATATTGAAAAGCATGGCTACACTGCACCGACTTCTATTCAGGCTCAAGCCATGCCTGTTGCTCTTAGTGGCAGGGATCTCTTGGGGTGTGCAGAAACTGGTAGTGGGAAGACTGCTGCATTCAGCATACCTATGATACAGGTTGTGTATTAAATTTGTGTTATTATCATCTCATACTGTGATTTTGTCACTGTTGTACTTGATCTGACTAATAGGAGTGTTTACTGTATAATAAATATTATACATATTTTTATCGATATAGCATTGCCTAGCTCAACAACCTCTTCAACGTGGTGATGGACCTTTGGCATTAGTGTTGGCACCTACAAGAGAGCTTGCACAACAAATAGAGAAAGAGGTGGGTCTGCGGGCACTTTAAAACTTACTGTTTTTTTCTGTATCCTGCATATATATGTTTCATTGACCCTGCTTTCAATGTGAGCAGATCCTTGGAACACCCTCATCTGTCTTTTGTTTTGTAATTCATCTATATAAAATAACTGGTTTCTTTTCCTTTTCTCAGTTTCATAAAAACATAAAATACTTTCTCGGGTGTTAACTGTCTAATAACCATATCAAAGGGTACTGAAAAGCATAATGTGCTGCTACTATACGGTTGCTTCGCTTCTTCAAAATTGAATAATGCTCATCTTTCAAGAAGTCTGGTTTAGTCAATTATATGAATTACTATCTTTTATTTGTGAAGCATCTTGTATCCCCTTGGCTTTCTTTGGTCGTGGCATGTTAATAAAGTAACTGGGTCTCTGTGATTCATAAGGAGTGGACTTCAATATCACTATGTCCCAGCTACTCATTGTGTTGCTGATGTCGTTTTATTACTGTGCAAAGCTCATCGTCTTGCTTCAATAATTTTCCTCATAACCAATAATTTCGCATGTGAATGATCCGTGTTCGTTATTAGCAATATATGTAGTTTGCCAATGGTGTAGACAAGATAAAACTCAAATTATTGTATTTTGCCTTTAAATATTATCTTTGTACTTGAACTGCTGAACATTGTCTTTTCAGGTTACGGCTTTCAGCATGTCTTTGGATTCCTTTAAGACCGCAATTGTTGTAGGTGGGACAAACATTAGTGAGCAGGTAACTTCATTTTTATTATCATTATTAGGGTGCTATCTGTGAGGTTCATACGTCTACAGGGTGATAAGTAAACCAAATATCTCTTCTTTTGTTCTGGACTTGTTACTGGGTTGTGCCTTGGAGCATTCATTTTTATCTTTATGTTACATGATGATGCAAGTCTAGCCTTACCATATTTTGTTATTGTGGTTTTCCATTGGATGCTAAGACAGAGGTCTGAGCTTCGAGCAGGAGTACATATAGTTGTTGCTACTCCGGGAAGACTTATAGATCATTTACAACAAGGAAATACTTCCCTCGGTAGGATTGCTTTTGTAGTTTTGGATGAGGCTGATAGAATGCTTGACATGGGGTTTGAACCTCAGATAAGAGAGGTATCTTCTTTTTCAATTTGTTTATTTTTTCTTTTCAAGGGAACATTATTTTCCATTTACCTGTTTGTCCGGTCTTCTGTAACTCATTTTTGAATCTCCCTGATATCTTGAGGAATATGCTATTGTTTTCTTTATTTTTGCACACGTTTACCTGCCAATGTAGTAGCTGTTTTGCAACCATAAACTATATATCAGTGCTTGATAATGCTTTTTAGTTATTTAATCTGTTATTATCTTTCTGTAAAATCAGAAAACATCTTATGTCATTGACTCCTGAATTATTATCTTTGCCTTTTTTTCATTGACTTTTGTAATATGTTACAGAGACCAGATTAGCATTAAACTAGAATGATTCAATTGTTGTTTTTGCTTGTTCTGCACGACTAAGTATGCTTATCAAACATCATAAATGACAGCTTCCAAGTTCGATTGTCTGCTTTTGTTTGCCTCTTGGTGTTGACTGGGTTATGTAAAGGATGCTGATACCATGCTGGAGGCTTTAGGACTTCTACATGTATATATGAGGCTCTAATAGTCAGCCAAATCTACCTTTGCTCTAGTTTCTGCTTGCTCATCTCCTTTCTTTTTTACCTTCTCTAGTGTTAATGTTGTAAAATCCCAGCACTTGGTGCTGTTTTGACTCGACGAAATACCATTTACCTTTTCAAAATTAAAATATAAATGGAAACTTCCAAATGTTACTGTGTCATAGGTGATGCGAAATCTTCCGGTAAAACATCAAACACTGCTCTTCAGTGCCACCATGCCAGCAGAAATTGAAGCATTGGCACAGGTTAGGTCTCTATTTACTTCTTCGTTATATTAGCCCATGTATTTAAAATGGTATCCTGGTAGGCTTATTTTGTCGATACTAGGCTTATCCTGGTAGGTCTCTATTCTATGCATGATCAGATTCTGCAGACATCATCATTGAGTTTCTCTCCATTGAGTAGTCTCCGTCCCCTTATTTTCTTTTGGTATAATCACAAATTTCCTTGATGTATGGAGGATTGGGAGGAGTTCGTAGAGAATCATATTCTAGAGATTCTTTACTTTTTGGTATACCACTTGTACATGGCCTGTGTGGCCATTTTATGGACAAGAATACCTTTACTTGATGAAAAATGATATACCATGTGAATTCAGTGTCTGGAAAAAGAAAGCAATTAGGTTAAGCTAGAAATTACTCTAGGTTTGATGTGGCAATTCTTCTTATAAAGGGTAAAGCTCTTAAACGATAAAAAATTCACTTAAAGGAAACTTATATGGCCTGGGATCTTGAATTCAGTTTGAGATCTCGTTCATAAAGCACTTGCTTTGATATTTTGTTGTTTTTCTCCAACTTTGTCATTTTCCTTGTATATGCAATTCATCATCACTTAACATGTCTTCAGGTTTGATAAACATATGATTTGGTCAATGCTATTATTCTGTAGAAGAGGTGTCACATCTCTTTTGATTGTTGCAGGATTACTTGACTAATCCTGTGCGAATAAAAGTTGGAAAAGTAAGCAGCCCGACAGCAAATGTTTCCCAAACTTTAGAGAAGGTACCCGAAAATGATAAGGTATGTTCATTGTTGAACTGAAATAGTAAAGTAAACAGATTGATTCGCATTACTTTTAATAGTTTTGATGGCACCATTTTTGTTGCAACCCTTCTTTATTTTTTATATTATTCAATTTTCATCTTGCTTGTTTGTTTCTTGTATACATAGTTGTTTGAGATATGCATCTAACAATTTTGCATTCTTCATTCTTTGCCGATAGCGTGTGCCTTTTCTGCCTTCTCCGTCTTTGACATTTATGGTGATGAAGTATAAAGATTCAATAATAAAATCCATCTCATCATTATATTGGATACATCCACATTAATGTTGATACAAGTTATATGTGTATGGTTTTGGGTTGGTCATAGTGGGTAATTAGACTTGACAATGCTGTCTCAGTCAAGAATTCTCTAATGCATAAGGAGCTAACTCTTGCTGTATGAAGTGATGAGATCCCAATCAGCATGAGTGGCTGTCCTTACTGGTAATATTTTTCAGAGCTGGAGCTCATTAAAGTGTTTTGCATCTTTAATATGAAATTCTTGCATATTATTGTATTACTCGTGAAATAACAGTAAATCAGCAGAAGAACCTTATGTATGAGAGTTAGCTGTCTTCTCCCCATTTTTTGTCATTTAAAATGGTTCGAACACTATTTATGTCATTGTTTTATAAAAATAATTAGGTCGAATGCTTATCTCTTAGGATGTTATTCAAGTCTTGATAGAAATATATATAGGTATCATATTTCACAGAACGGGGGATATAAATGTAGATGAATCCATACTCAAATCTTTCTTTCTAAGAAATCTAACAATCACCTACACAAGGAGGACTTTATGAAGCACAACTAGGTTGAATCCTTATTTTTAGGATACTATTCATGTCTTGATAGAAATATATATAGGTATTTATCTATAAACTTATACTTGCTATCATAAAAGCATGAACGCCCTAATTTGAATATTAAATTACTATAGTACCCCCAACTTAAAAAAAATTCGATTAAATATATCTTTTGTATTTTATTTATATTTATTTATAATTCATTATGTTAAAAGCAAAATATCTTTTCACATTGAATGGGTGCGACTTTTTCGAAGGGTTATGACTTTTTCAAAAAGTTGTGACCTTTCCAAAGTGTTGCAACTTTTTTGGTAAGGCATAATAAACACATGTTCATACTACCCTTTGTTGTCTATAAATAGAGGGGTTCCTCACATTTTAAAACTACTCCCTCCGTCCCATTTTATATGGCTCCGTTTCCTTTTTGGTCAGTCCCAAAAAGAATGTCACATTTCCTTATATGGTAAATATTTAAAGGTACAATTCCTCTTTTATCCTTGTTGGTCCCACTTAATTTTAAAAATAGTACTCTTAAACATTTATGAGGAGAGAAAAGTAAGTCTACTTTTGAAGGGTAATTTGGTAAACATTTCAAAGTCGGTCAAATGTTGCCACATAAAATGGGACGGAGGGAGTATAATTTTTTTACGTTTTCTATTCTTCTTTCTTAAAACACCAATTTAGTATATCTTCTATATTTTGTATTGTATAAATATATTTATTTTTTATATTATATTTTATTACAAACAAACACTTTATATTGTATAAATATATTTATTTTTTATATTATATTTTATTACAAACAGATACCTTTTCATATTGAAGTGCTATGACTTTCCCAATAAGGCCTAATAAGCACATGCTCATACTACCCTTTGTGGACTATAAATAAAAGGGTTCTCTCACATTTTGTAAACTAAGCTTTCAAAGGTTTCTATTCTTCTACTTTTTTAGAACACCCAATTTAGTATATTTTTTATATTTTATATTATATTATACTAGTAAGATTTTTCGTGCTTCATGCGTGAATTTAATATCACAATTATAAAATAATACTCCCTCCGTTTCAAACAGGATGACCTAGTTTGACTTGGAACGGAGTTTAAGAAAAGAAAGAAGACTTTTTAATCTTGTGTTCTAAATTAAAGTTCTGTCAAATGTACTAAAATGCCCTTTAATCATATGGTCTTAAACAAGCACGTGGAAAGTTAAAGTTAAAGTTAAAGTGTTGCCAAAAAAGAAAAGGGTCATTCTTTTTGAAACAAACTAAAAAGGAAATAGGGTCATTCATTTTAAAACGGAGGGAGTACTTAAAACCTATCGGTCATTAAAACTAAAACACTATGTTATCTTACGTACAAAATTACGTAGTAACAAACATTAATAATGTAAAGGAAAATGAAAATTATTATGTCTTATCATTTATTCTTCATAACATAAGCATAAATTAATAATGGTAAAATACATACCAAGATTTTTAACATAAGCAATGGTGTTAGTGAACCACTCAATTGGAGCAAAATACACAAATATTTTATTGTGAAGACGAAGAAGAGATATAGAATTTTCGTTGTTATAAAATGAGAGGAAATCAGGCAACAAAAGGTAGTGTGAATAAATGTTTATTGTGCCTTATTACGAAGCTTACAACTATTTGGAAAAGTTTCAACCCTTCGAAAAGGTCACAACCTTTAATAAACGTGACAAATTTTCACAACTTTTCATAAAAGTACTTTTTATAAAAGTCGCAATTCTTCATTAAAGTTGCAACTTTTCATAGAAGTCACAACTTTTCTTAGAAGTCACAACTATTCATAAATGTCACAATTTTTCATGAAAAGGAAGGATAATTTTGAAAATAAATAAATTAAAAGAGAATTCTTGTTTGTAGTGGCGCCACGTTGGCGGGCCTAAGGATATATATATATACACACACACACATATATATATATGTATGTATGTATGTATATATGTATATGTGTATGTATGTATATCTGTATATATTTATGATATGATATGATGTGATGATTTTATTTATTTATGTTACATTATATTAGAAGTGAACATCTTTTCACATTGAAGGTTTGTGACTTTTTCGAAGGGTTTTGACCTTTCTTGAAGGATTGTCACTTTTTTCAAGAGTTGCGACTTTTCCAATGGGTTGTGATCTTTTCGAAGGGTTGTTTCTTTTTAATAAGGCACAATAAGAACATGGTCATATTTTCTTTTGTTGGCTATAAATAAAGGGTTTTCTTCTCATTTTAAACTAATTTTTTAGAAGTTCTCTATTTGTCTTCTATATTTTGCATTATGTTTATTTATATTATATTATATAAAAAGCCGACACATTTTCACATTGAAGGGTTGTGACTATTTTTTTTTTTGATAAGGCACAATAAGCACATGTTCATTCTACCCATTGTTGGATATAAATAGATGGATTTTCTCACATTTGTTAACTACAATTTTTAAGAGTTCTATGTTACCTTTCTCAATTATATATATATATATATATATATAAATATATATATATATATATATATATATATATATATATATATATATATATTTAAAAACTTTTCTGTTCTTTCTTAAAACACACAATTTAGTATACCTTTATAGGTTATATGATTACATTTATTACTGAAAGCAGAAACCTTTTCACATTGAAGGGTTGTGAGTTTCTCAAATAGTTTACTTTTCTGATAAAGCACAATAAGCCTATGCTCATACTATGCTTTGTTGACTATAAATTGAGGGGTTCACATTTTTAAACTATGATTTTTTAAGTTTTCTGTTCTTAAAAAAAACCCCGAGTTTGATTTGCAGTCACTTAGTGAGTTCGAAGTCAAGTAGAACGTTAAATTACTTCTGTACTCAAACTAAAAACATCTAATTTAGTATATATTCTATATTTTATGTTTACTTATTTATATTATATCCAAAACAGGTGCCCCAACAATACAATAACTTAGCAATGAGAGAAGGTATATTTAAAAGTTGTAATTAAGAGATGTATGCCTTTTATTTTTACATATGAATTAATTTTAAAATGAGGAAGCTATATACTGATTATACTTTCTTATACCATTTATAATTGTTTACTTAAATTTATGTTTTATTAATATGAGCATTATTTTTAAAAAAGTGTACTACATAGTTTGGCATTCAGATGCAACACTCGTGCATCAAAAACTAGTATTGCACAAAAGTAGGGATATAAATGTAGATAATCCATTCACAAATCTTTCTTTCTAAGAAATCTAACAATCACCTATACAAAGAAAGGATTTATTGGGGCTTCAAAAGATAAAAACTAATTGTCGAGGGCTTTATTATTTTTGGTGTAAGCAAGTAGTGATAGGAGATGTTGAAAATGTGTTTAATATTATTGACGGGTTGTAACTAGAAGATCTTAGGAATGATGTAAGTAAAAGTTTTTGGAGGGGGACTACATTTTGGGATATATAGAAGTAAATCTTACCTTTCTAAAACAAAATGATAAATAAGAGGCATTTGCAACCTAAGGTTTGACTAGAGGTCAATAAAGTGGGCTACAACTTTGGAGACATGCGTTCAACCCCAGTAGAGACGAAAAAAAGCTAGAGTATCTCTTCCATCTGCCTAAGCCTTGGTGTGCAGAGTTATTCAGTACTTGTGCGGGTGATCCTGTAGTATTACCCTATGGAATAGTTGAGATGCATGCAAGCTGGCTTAGATACTACTGTTATTACTTCTATAAATAAAGAAGAGGCATAAGAATACTATAACTCTGATAGACTATTCTCCTTTGTCAAGGGTTCTTCAATTCACTAGGTTGTGCTCATAGTTACAAGAGGACAATCCCCCAGTTCTGTCCATGCTATCAATTTGCCAGCAACTCCTTGTTGTTGTGTCTTCAAAAACAAACTACTAGCGATTCACATTTTTATCTGTCCTTTGTTGGATAGTTTTTTGAAATATATGAAGGGCCTACAGGAACAGTAATATTTTTGTTGTGCTAAAGATCCAAATATATACCATATATTTGTCTTGCATTTGTACTTTTGTTATATTTCTTTTCCAATATTTTTCATTGAGATGACAAAGTTGAGCCAGGGATATTTCAGAAACAACCTCTCTACCACCAAGAGGTAGGGGTAAGGTCTGCGAACACTCTACCCTCCAGACCCTGTCTATGGGATTACACTGGGTATGCTGTTATTGGAGAAGACATTTATTCTATTAATTATTTCATCAAGATTATAGCTTGATGTTATTGTAATGATAAATCATGTAGATTGATCGCCTTCTGGATTTGCTGGTTGAGGAGGCTGCTCAAGCTGAAAAATCTGGCCATCCTTTCCCTTTGACCATTGTATTTGTGGAACGGAAGGTATAATTTCTTATACTCTGATATTCCTTTTCTGATTTTTCTGTTGCCTATCTATGCTAATGTTGCCGTCGTAAGGATTCCCTGATAAAAAGTATAGAAGATCACTAAAGGAAAAAGCAAAGCACAATAGTTTAAATAACATGCTACTTTTTAAGTGTAACATATATATATATATATATATATATATATATATATATATATATATATTATGTAGGAAAGGGAAGGACGTCTTTCTCATCTTGCTGCTGCAACTATTACATGCCACTTTACGCACCCCATTCCCTCCACCTCCCCCTCACTCTCTCCAATTCGTCTACTGCTTTTTTTTTTTAAAGTTTTATTTTATTTTATGTAGATCTGATTTGAAGTCTCAAATATACCTGTAAAGCTCTAATGTTTTCGATGAAAATAATATCCCGGCGAAGCTTCATTATTTTTGCTGAAAATAATATTTTGGCTCCATTGTTTAAGATGAAAATAGTATTCCAGCGAAGCATTTGATAATTTTTTTTTCGAAAAACGTCTATTATTTTCTTATAATTGTGATAAATGTTTACTAATGGAAAGAAGATGAAGAGAATGGTGGAACGTTTTGATGCTACTAGAACGAAAGATAAATGAGGGGTTAGCTTAGATGGAAGCAATGGTGTATTATCGACGCCGATTCGATGGAGAAAAAGAAAAGGGTGGATGTTATGGTTTATTGGTGTTTTTGAGGCACAATGGACCAGTGGAAAGGGAAACAAGGTCCGATGACGAAGAAGAAGACCGTTGACTATGGTTTACTGGTGGTTGACGGGTTGAAGCGCAGGGGCGACTCAGTAGAAAGGGGAGAAGAAGTTGGGGGTGGGTTATTCAAAATTAAATTTATATTTTCTTAAAATTCCTTTTTTGTATTATTTAAATAGAGTTTTTTTAAAAAAAAATTCAATCGCCACATGTCATTGTCTCATTAGTCCATTTTCTATATATATGCGATTGATAAGCACAAATTATTGTTTTTTTTGTTGATTATCATTTTGTGTTAAATAGGTATATATTTGTTAAGATTCAAGTGTTCAATAGGTCAAGGCTAAAGGCTAGATTGAGGTGTCTAAATGAAATATGCAAACAACTTTAAGGGGCTGCATATGACTTAAGCCTTTATTCTGTTCATTCGACCATGTCTTGTTTTTAACTGCAAGGGAACAATAAGTGATCACACAAATGGTATTAGCAACCGACCTTCTAGGCTTCTACCTGCAATGTGGTCATGTTGACCTCTAGCATCACATCAATGAAGCGTGTGAAAGATATGGTTTGTTGATAATGGAAAAGTTAATTGTCTGATGACTTAGCTACATAGGCTTGAAAATCCAATGTCTAAATGTGGTAGATCCTAATTGAGGATAGCCAACAACATGATAGTTTATTGCCGATGAGATTGATTTCATGGAACCTTAGTTGTCAAAGTCATTTTATCTATGAAGCCTCTACCTATCTCCGAAACGGTCCATCTCCAAAACTGAAAGACCTTCCAGAAAATCTGTGGAGCACACTAAATAAGGAGGTGGGGATGGAGAAATAACTTATTGAAGCTTGATTGGTGTGCCCGGAAATTAGATGTATATCAGCCACTGCTAATCTCGAATGAGTGTAGATAAGGGCTTTTAGGGTTACCTCTTCCTCTCTGGTCTCTGGAAATGTTTATGGAGTTTGGTTTAGATGTCGAGGTTGGATTGAAATAAATGGGCTCAACTGCAAGTGAAGGGTCATTTTGATTCAATTCTTAGAAGTATTGGGTTGGAAAAAAATGGGCTTGTCTTCACGATCCCAATTTGGTGTAAAGCATTGATATTGTGGACTTGTCTCTGTTGTACTGTGTGTAAGGGAGATACAACCAAGGTCTATGGCAGAGGCACACCCAGCATATGGTGCCTTAAATAGTGCTGGGCAAGCACACTTGGGCCACGGAATTGGAATCTTTAGAAGCTTATCTGGAAGGTTATTTTAAAGTTGCATGCTTTTGGTGGCTAGTGGCTAATAGGCTGTTCTACTACATGATTGCTTGATGAGGAGAGGAATGCAACTGAGCTCTATGTGCTTTCTATGTAGTAAGGAGATTGAAACAGTCACCTCTTCTTACACTGCAAGGTGACCTGCAATCTGTGACTTCTTTTCACGAGTATGAAGGGTTTAATATGGACAGCACCTAGGAAATTGCAGAAATGATAGCATCCAGGAATGATCCAGGTGTTTTACTAAAGAAAAGAGTTGGTGGAGCCTCATCCCAGATTGTATCTGGTAGACAATATGTAAGGAAAGAAACTTAAATATTTTGATGATAGAGCTTATTCTGAACAGAAGATAAAGATGAAATGTATCTTTTTAAATCATTTTTGGTGAAAAAAATTCCCTGGTAGAGGAGGTGGAGTCTGTAGTGGACATCATTGGATCCTTATAACTTGCACTAGACTAGGTTTTTGCTGTTTCTTGGGGTCTTGTAACTCTGTTCATCTCTTACAGTCTTTGTGCGAAGGATTATCTATTTATAAAGTTGTTACCTTTTCAAAAAATAAACCAAAGAATAATTATGAACTTATCCAGGTTCATAATGAAAGGTTAGTATAACCCTTCCCATGTTCAATTTTCAAATTTCATCGCAAAAGATTTTAAGCCTGCAGATTAGCAGAAGAGCACTTGCATATTCCAAGGCCTTTGCCGATTCAATACAGGCCACAAACTAATAATCACTTTAATTATAGGGACACACAGTAGAATTTCCTATATCTCAGATCGAGATACCATTCATGGTTTTTATTAAATATGACAACATCACAGCAACGATGCTTAGATGGATTTATGATTGTTGAGAAGGCTTAAGAGGTAATGAAAAGGTCTTATCCCCCTCCTACCAGATAGCCTTCTCCAAGTTTCTTTGAGAAAAGAAAGCAGTCAAATACGAGCTCATATTAAATATTGCTAGTTTCTGACCACTGAGTTTCATATGAGGTAGAAAATTTTGCAACAACTGTTATTTGTAAGGAAGAGTAGATCTCACTTGGCAATTCTAGCTTTCTTGGAAACCTTTCATGTGTTCTAGCTCTCTCCCATTTTCTAATTTTATTGAGTAAAAGTGCTCTCCATATTCAAAATAAGTTGTGAAGTTCTTCTATTTATGGCTGTTTTCATTTCCAGTTACTCTCTCTGTTTCAAAATGAATGTCCTAGTTTCCTTTTTTAGTATGTTTCAGAAAAAAATGACCCCTTTCCTTTTTTGGCAACAATTTAACTTTAACTTTCCACGTGGCATGTTTGAGGCTACAAGATTAAAAGGCATTTTGGTACATTTGACATACCTTTTATTTAGAATCACGAGATTAAAAAGTCTTCTTTCTTGAACTCCATTCCAAGTCAAACTAGGCCATTCTTTTTGAAACGGAGGGAGTAATATTTTGCTACACCACATTTTTATAGTATCAAGATTTAAAACCAATATAAGTAGTTTTATATGATCCATGATCCTATCTCCGGTGGTATACCCATTGGTGAAGGTGTACTATAGGATTACTGTAATTAGTCTCTTGTTTTAGCTTGTTACTACCTTTTGGAGGTCTCCAACGTACCACCTTAATGCTGAGAAATACAACATTACCAGTTTCACAAAAAAAAATAAAAATATACCTTGATGCCTACACTTAAGGATTAGTTAAGCAAGGCAGAATGCACAACCAGGGCTCATGCAAGCTTTCTGTCCGAGTAGTTTAGTTGAATGCTTGCTGCATTTAAATGAAATGGACAAGTGGTGTTAACTATTAAGTAGCATACACGTGAAGGTGCACAAAGGCATTAAAGTGTTTAATTTTCAGTATCAAAAACCATAAAGTGCATTTTGGTGGCTAACTTGGGGGCTGTTCTATGTGGGTTTTTTGAAGTAGATACAGAAGACACTTGTACTTTTCCAGTCAGCTCCTAGTTAAACTAATTTTTCAGTGTAAAGGATGTCATCATCACTTTTGTCCTACCTTTGTCTGTCACTAATCTGATTTGCTTCATCCTCCGTCCATCTTATTCAGTTGGGCAAAGACATGCTCATTAGCAAAGCCCGTTGTACACACTTGAGAAACTCCTTAGGATTAGTACAGCTACTATTCTTTTTCTTGGATCAGTTATTACAACCACTATGTTGTGCCACTTGATTGTTGTGAATGAGGCGGCTGATCTCAGTAGCACAGGTTTGAGATCCTGGAGGGGAGAGTAAGACTAAGGATTCCTTTGATCTGATAATTTTCTTCCTTGTTAGAATCGATGAGTGATTACTATCCAGTCCCTTCTATATGCTTTTGTGAATGGCTAGGGCTTTTTCAGCATGTACATCCTTATGGCCATGTTCCTGATAAGGGCTTTTAGTTGATTCTTGCATGACCATTGTTTAATTTTGATTTATCTTACCTTCAGTCTTTTTTTTTTTAAAGAAAAAGTGTAAGTGCATGCTTTTAACAATGACACTATGCAACATCATCGTGTAGACAAAATGTGATGAAGTAGCAGAAGCTTTAACGCAGCAGGGTTTGCTTGCAACTGCACTTCATGGTGGTCGTAGCCAAAATGAAAGAGAGGCTGCCCTTCGTGATTTCAGACATGGACCTATCAATATCTTGGTATGTTTAAAACATCTACTGCTGTAATATTTCATGATATTTTCACTTGTTGATACCAGATTACATAGAATTTCCTTATCCCTGATTTATGTGAATTGTCAGGCAATAGGAGTAAGAATATCCCCAAGCAACATCAGTTGGTAGTGTTTGAGGGTGTAAAACTTTTTTGTTTTCCTTTAGGACGAAGTATGTTTTCTTGAAATCAAGTAGTCTCTCTGAGAAAAAAGTCTCTTCCGTCTTTCCAATCTTTCTTTCTCCTTTTGCAATCTGTCAGCATTATTTCCAGATTGGAATAGAATACAAGTTTCACCCTTTTTTGATGAAACCCATAGATGGTCTAGGTTCTTATATATTTTCTCCTCTTCTATATCCTGTTCTTTACACCAAATCCCTAGAGTAATAATTACTTTCCATTTATCTTCTGTATTACACACTCCTTTCCTTCAAATATTCTTTGATTCCTTTCTTTCCATATAATACAACATATACATGCTGGAACTGTTCTCCACCATCTTTTCTGGCTCTTATTGCATCGCCTTTTGATCCAACATCTAAGGAGGTCAGAAATGGTGTTTTGGCATATCTAGTATTCATTGGCTATGCTAGTAAACAGAGCCCACACCTGTGCAGTAACCTTACAGTGCATGAGTCAGACAACTCTTTCTAGCAACCAGTCAAGTGAAGCACTTCACCTTGGTAGTGGCTACACTTCTCCACATTGTTCCAAGGTCCTGTGGATCTTCCTGTACTTCCTCTAAGTCTAAAGTCAGTTCACAGAAAATATCCCACCATTGTGATGTCTCCACGAATTCTGTCTTGGACTAGATTAGTACCATGGAATCCACCAATCAAGCTCAAGAGCTCCACCACTATCAGGGTTTGGTGCATATTGAGAGAAGACCAGGGAACAGGTCCCTTGACATCTCATTGACACACCAATCATATGTCCAGAACTTAGCTTCATCTCCTTTGCCCACAATAATCTTTGAGCTACTATTGAGAGCCAACCACAAGTTCCTGATGGTCTTCCACACCCCAATACCTTAAGTGTCAATGACTTCACTAGTACACCAGCAATCCTGTTGCCCATATTTGTGTTGTATTAACTCTTTTTTTAGAGCCTGCTCCTTAAAATACCCCCACAACCATTTTGAAAATAGGCTCTTGTTATGAAGCTATAAGTTCCTCACTCCCAGTCCCCCATTTTCCCTACTTTGTTGTACTATAGGCCATTTGAAGTTGAAGCCCTTTTCTATCTTATTTCCTTGCCAAAGGAAATTTCTTCTTAGAGCATCCAGAGACTTGAAAACCTTACTCTTTTTTTTTTGATAAAGTAAAGTTGTATTCCTCAGCAATGAGGGTATGCTGGCAACCATCAAAAAGATTTACATCAGTGACCCAAAAAAAAACCCAACTCTAATAGATTGCTACTAAACTTATAAAGAAGAGAAAATAGTTTAAAATTTGTCCAGCATCCTCTATACCCTCCTCAGTACACCAAAAATAGAAGGTCTTCATACAACGCCATTTGATCTTTTGTACTGGTTCTGCAGTATTTCCATACACATCTTGTTTCTCTCTCCAAATAGTCCACCATATACAGGAGGGTATGTTCCACCATTTCCTCTGGCTCTTACTCCCCCCTCTCTCAGCCAGCAACTAAAAATGTTTGCAGTGTGTTCTGGCATTGTCCAGTTTGTGTGTGTTCTGCTTAGGAAATGGACCCATGATTGAGCAGTGACTTTGCAATGGAGGAATAGAGGGCTATTAGTCTCATTTGTCTCATTACACAGTGAAGGGCATGCCTAACTCATGAGAATCCACAACTTCCAGAGATGATTGTGTTTCCAAATCATTACATCAACTTTCAGATTTGTGCCCTTGAAATCATCCAGTGTTTGTAACATCTCGGCTAGGGAAAAGGGACATCACATATGTGGGTAGAGAATCCACTCCTGAGTCCGATTAGTGCAACTCTTCCTCCTAAAGATAATTATTGGGACTTCTACATAGCCAATTTCTTCTCAGATTTCTCAATTATGCCATCCCAATTTTTTCTGCTTTGTGCTTGGAACCCAAAAGCATGCCCAGGTAGACTGTAGGCAACTTTTCTTTCTTGCACTTCAAAATACTTGCGAGAGGCACAATCTGCTTCACCTCCTTTATTGGAAAAATACTACTCTTTCTTCATTTAACTTTGAGTCCTGAGCAAAGCTTCAAAAATCACCAAGATCACTCTGAAGTAGCAAATTTGTTCTCACTGTGCTTTACAAAATACCACTGTCATCTGAGAAATTTATGCTTCCTTTAAAAAATTAAATTACTGTAATCATCTTTATCCAACACTTCAATGTGTCCGCCCAAAACTGTCCTTGGGTCATATACAAGTGTGGACAGTTTTCTGCGATGTGAATTTGATTGTTCATGAACCTACAACATTGGGTTTTGGCGATGCATGTTCTGCTGACCCGAACTAAGAGCATTCTCTTATCAATATAGTAACGACTATAAAGAAAAATGATTTTTTTTGTACCCCCAGTACAACTTGCATGCAGATTGCAGAGTCTAATAAACTGAAAATTTCATTTCAAATTTGAATTGATCTCAATAGATTAGTCATTACAGTAATAGGTAGGGATGGAAGGGTTCGATCATTTTTCACCCAAAACGAAGGTGCTACCAAGTTGCGGTAAATCCCTTCCAATTCGTGTCGAATAACAATGAAATGAATTTTGTGTCTATTATTCTTTGGCACTTTTTGAACTTCCATCTATCTGTACAATTAACTTCTTACGATGGATTGGCAGGTTTCTACTGATGTTGCGTCTAGGGGGTTGGATGTCACTGGAGTTGCACATGTAATTAACCTAGATCTTCCAAAGGTATTGCATACTGCAAGAATAATAAGTTATATTTAGAGCTATTCTTTACGGAAAACACTATTAACTTTGCTAAAATTGTAGGTACATCTTTGGATTAGTTACTCCTACCCATATTAGAATTGTACCCCTACCTGAGTCCATGTAACATAGATTTAGAAGCTTCACATGCACAGAAGAGCTTTCAAATTTTGGTATTTTAGTTCTCTTCACAATGTTATTCTAGTAACCTGGCATATTTTGTTAGTCGTTTTTAGTTCTCCCCCTGGCAATTCTTCAGTTATCCATTTAATACTAGTCTAAAAACTCAATTTCTTATTCTTGGATATACACAAGAGCTCATGCTCTGTGTGTGGAACTGTGTAAAGTTTGATGCAACTTTTCCTATGTTAATTTAGACCATGGAAGATTATGTACACCGGATTGGAAGGACTGGTCGTGCAGGGTCAACGGGCCGAGCTACTTCATTCTACACTGATCGTGATATGGTCTTTCCTTTTGCTATACTCACTTCCTCTCTTGTTCATATTTGTTGATGTTCATGTTTTGACTTGTGCTTTCTTGCTTCGTTTAATTTCACAGTATCTTGTGGCTCAAATAAGAAGAGCAATAGCTGATATTGGTTCTGGCAATGATGTAACCATTGCTATGGGAAAGGTATGCCTCGTTGGTTCTATCTCATTCTTGTGTTTGTTTCCCTATCCACTCCTATTTCTTCTCAGTATATAATATCGAAGCACATTTATTTTATTTTGAGTTGTGTTATTTTCACATTATTAGACTGCAAGAAGAAAGGAGAGAGAAGCTGCAGCTGCGGAAAAAGAAGCAAGGAGTGAATTGTCTAAATTCTCTTTAGTAGGGTCCACGGTAAATGTGGAGGATAAGTATAGGCACATGATTGCCCCATCGATGATTAAAAAGGAGGGAGCTGCAGATGACGCTTGGGATGACTGATGTTTGTTGTATGTGCCTCTACTCCGATGGTAGTAGCGATGCTCCAATGTGTGTACATTTGTTGTGCAAAAACATCTTTAACATGCAAGAATGGAAATCAGCAACATAAGGAGCTGCTAGCCCTTGAAACCCTTTGTGTGTAGTATTTAGTGTTTTACACGTTCTTTGGTTCTTATCCATGAAGGGTACATTGAGCAGTTTTGCAGGCCGGGTAGGAAATGTGCTAAAAATGACTTGTCAAGTCTTAATTCCATTTGTCTAGATTTTTGATAATACTTTACACGCACACTGTTTTATTCTGCACAAGGCTGTAGTAGTGGGATATTCTCGAGTATTTACATCAACTTCTTTCTGCATTTAGTGATGCTTGACAAAAGAAAATTAGAAAAAAAAGTAGTGAAGAATCATGAAATTTGATGATAGTGGACAAGATCCATGGCTGTTACTGGGCAATTTAGCAAATTTATTTTTGTATGTATGTTGCTGCAAAGCACGACTGTGTCACTTAATTGTAGGAAAATTGCGTTTAAATTGGTGGTCAAATATAAAAGTAGAGGTATTTCTATCATGCAAATAACGTGTGATTACATGCCGCCTGTTTCCTAAGCAGCTATTATTCCTCTAATTGCCTTTTAGTTTAAAGTGCTATTAATCACAAAATGCTTAGAGCATTTTGAACCTTACCATCTATTTTATTTTCTATTCTAAATGTAGAGTTTTATAGGTAATCAACCCTCGCACAATTCTTTATTCAACTTTCTAAAAGATTTTTTTTCTCTCTTCTTAATATTATATTATTCTAGATAAATTTATCTCATAAATAATTGCATTGAACTTGCAAATAATTTTTTACTAATATCCGTACATTAAAAATAATGGAAAAACAATAGGTTTATAAAAAAATAATAGCAATAATTCAATTTGATAATTTTTTATTATCGCATAACTCAATAACCTCTAATGAATGAATTAGTTTGGAAATAGTAAATCATTGATTCTTTAATTGGCATAAACAGAAAAATAAAGAAGAAAATATGAATGTATACAAGGGCATTTCGTAAGAGAAGAACACATATAAATTGCATAGATTCTACAATTGTTATATGTCTCAAGAAAAAATTCAAAAATTTGTTAACAAATCCAAAAAAGAAATTACGCTTGAACATGAAAACAATTATAACTTTTGAACTTGCATAATGAATTCCTTCAATCGATATGTGAGAAACTTTATATCTATGTAAATATAGATACTATGTAAGCTTATATATAGTACATTTAAGTCATAGAATTTTATAAAAGATATCAAAACATGAATTTTTGAAACTAAGTATCATAATCATTCTATACGCACTGAATGTACATGCCAATATCATAATTATTTTCTGCACGATAAATATACCTATCATATGTGTATATGTTCAATATAACCGAAGATAATAACTTTGCACAAACATAAGTAACAGAATTTAAAACATGTACTGAAAACAATATTAATATCGTAAGAATAAATTAATGATTGTAAAAAAACAGACCAGGATCTGTAACAATAAAAGGAAAAATTGAGTAGTGAATGCACAATGTACCCTTAAGAAAATTATTTTCCTATAATACCCGAGGTCAAAGGAAATAGATAACACATGATGGAACAATATTACTCAGCAGCGTATTGATACAAAAACAATGGTGTTAATGAGTCATTCAACAGGAGCAAAGTAAACAAATATTTAATGGGAAAAAGGTTTTATATACCCCTCAACTTTGCCATTTAGAGCTGACATACCCCTCGTTATGAAAGTGACTCATATATGCCCTAACCGTTATACAAACGACTCACATATACCCCTGCGGCTACAAAATGAGCTCACATATATCCTTCATTTAACGGAAGTTAAAAAAATAATTTTTTAAATTTATATTTTTTACTTTTATTTTTTTAAAAAAAATTACTTATGGGTATATATGATTCTTCTATCAAAGTTCAAGGTAAATTTCAACTTTTTTCGTACATAAATTATTTTTTGACTTCTTTTATTATAATTATTTGAGTTTCTTATTCTTATTTTATTTTTTTCTTTCAATCCTTAGTTTAAAGAAGAAAAAATTTAAACTATTTTTTTTGTCTATATTGTAATTTGATTTTTGTATTCGAAGAAGAATTTTTGATCATCTACAATAAGTTTTACAAGAATATTAGTGAAACATAAATAAATTTGATTATCAAAATAATAATTCTAAAATTAGTTATTGAAACAAAAAAAAGTAAAAAAAATATGTTTGACGAGGATAAAATTTACTCATATGTAATTATATTTTTTAGAAAAAAATAATATAAATTAGATTATAATAATTATTTTTTTTATTTCTGTTATAGGAAAAGGGTATATGTGGGCCATTTGTTTATAAGTAGGGGTATATATGAGTTACTTTCATAACAAGGGATATATCCGCTCTAATTGACAAAGTTGAGGGGTATATCAGATCCTTTATTGTGCAGAAGAAGAAGTTCAGAATTATCGTTGTTTTAAATGAGAGGAAATCCCTCTATTTATATACAACAAAGGATTTATACAACATACGAATTAAAGAACATAAATTGCTTTCAAAATTCTTGTGAGACAATTATTATGTTATGTATTATATCGTTATCTTGTATTTAAATTATGAAAAAGGGACAAAAATACCACTGTATTATTCGAAAAGGTCTAAATAAACCTCTTAGCCAACCTTTTTGGTTCATTATTACCCTTAGAACTAACATCCTTATATCTTTTAATTATTCTATTTAATAATTATTACGTGATGTCTTTCTATTGGATAAAGTTAATATCCAACCCACCAACCTTTCTCCTACCCACCTTACCGATATTGACATTTCTTGATCCAAACACAACTAAAAGATCCATCAAAAGATTTTGAGTACATCAAAGGTGCTGCGCACGACAATAATAGCCACCGTCAATATATCCACGAACAATTATCTATCGCCGTCAATAGATCCGCCAACAATTATCTACCGCCGTCAAAGGTGTTGAGCACGTAATAACATCAGATAATGACACTAATGACATATATTTTCCTTTAATATTTTGGATGAATCTTTTAATTTAGCTCCAGAGCAGAAGTAAATTGGAAGACATCAAATCAAGATGTAGAATCAATGAACCATTGGTAATCCTGTATTCACACAGAAATTATCAAACATATAACTATACAAGTAGTGTTGGGGATTCAAATGCCATACATCAAACAACAACTTTTTTAATTTTATTATGTCTTCGTTCTTTCTGTTTGACGTTTGTATTATTGTATCTTGAGTTTTGATTTTGTTGTAGTAAAAATATGACAATCTATATATATGAATGAATGATAGGGTAAAGTAATTTATAAAGATCCATCTAAATTGAACACTCACAATTATGGTGCTCTTGTCCGTTAGAGTTCATAACAAATCTGAGCTATGCATCTATAGTAAAATCAAACCTTCAAAGAAAGAGATTGAAAGACACTACTTAAATTTCTCAAATTGAGAGGATATAATTCGAGAGAGTAACATTAATGCACTTTCACAATAAAGACAAATCACTTGCTATTTCAAATTTTCATCGATCAATTAGCTATCTTCACACTAAAAAGAACAATTGCGCTGCTAAAGGATTACATGACAATGGATTCCATGACAATGGGTTGATGCACTTCCGCAAGAAATTAAAAGTAAGAAGTTAAACTTGGAAGTTTGATTTAGGTAATATATCATCCAAAATATTTTAATTTGATGGATCTTTTAATTCGATTTGGGTCAAAGGATGGGTCGAGCGGGTAGGAGAAAGTTTGGTTGGTTGAAATTTAACTTTCTCCATAGAAAGACATCACATAATAACTATTAAATAGAATAATTAAAAAATATAAGACTATTATTTTAAAAAATAATATTGAACCAAAAAGGTTGACTTAGGGGTATTTTTAAATCTTTTCTATTAGTGTAGGGGTATTTTTTAACCCTTTTCCGTTTAAATATTATAATATGCATCATGTTTTCAAATTAAAATTTTTATCTAATCATTTTAATTTTGTGCATTCTTCATAGTGAAAATTATTAATAATATAAAAATCTATTGAAGTGATGAAAATTTTATAAGTTGAAATATTATTAAATTGGAGATAAAAATAGTATATATTAAATATTTTTAGAAGATTTTTATATTACACAAAGAACCATGTATATTAAAGATTTAATTAATGACCTCATAAGAAAAATAAGATTTAAATTATAGAATAACACAAATAATAATAAAATAATAAAATACTGAAATAGAGAGGTGAATAGCAATTCTCCAAATTTGAAGAACTATTATTCACCTCTCTATAAATGGAAAATAGACAGTGAAATAAAGTGTGGTTGAGATCCAGTTTTTAACTTAATTTTCCAAATATAAAGAATAGAGAGTAAACTAGAGGTGAGTTAGAGATGATCTTACCATCCCCACAAGCCACTAGATGGCTCGTGAAGGCCACCATAGGCCGTGGGACGGGTCGTGGTGATGAGTTAGATTTTTAGGGGTTAAGGGGTGGCAAACTATGCTACTAGTGAAGGGCCAAGGGCATCACAACGGTCCGTGAAGCCCCACAAGAACCGTGAATTCGTCCGTGAAGGATTTCATTAGACTTAGAGTGAAGGGTCAACTTCAAATGATCATATACTTTATCTTAAAATGAATTATGTGGCCATGACATATAGAATTAAAGTTCTATGATTCCTATTTCCCACACCACTGAGTTTGCCCAATTCCCATCACGGAGTAAAAAAGTTATTCCTAAAATAATGAAACATTGTCAAGCTCAAACGTCTTCACGACCCATTTGAGGTCCGTGGTGATGATGACGATCTGTGAAGGCGTCCTCCATGCCATTTAGGCAGAGGGAGAAGGAGAAGAAGGAGAAGGATTAGAAGCAGAAGGAGAGGGAGGAGGAGAAGAAGAAGGGGGAGGATAAGGAGGAGGAGAAGGAAAAGGAGAAGAAGGAGAAGGAGGAAAATAAGGAGAAGAAGAAGGAGGATGAGGAAAAGAAGCTAGGTCAAGTCAACAACCCATTGTTTCAAGCTTTATAGGCTTTATAATCAAGGTATGTTGTCTTATTCATCCATGTATTCTTCCATCCATGGAGTCCCCTAGAATCCCCCTCTTCTTCAATTGTGAAGATCAAATCTCCAATTCAAGTTGGGGTTCCCTCCAAAATTGTGGATTAAGAACAGTATGATTCCAACTGAGTGAATATACTTGTTTATGATTGATTTTGTATTGAATCATTTTATATGATGAATTACATGTTTTCCATGTCTAACCCTATTTTAATTAATGAAACTGAAGTAATGCAGGTTTATGCCTTGTGAAGGAAAATTGAAGATTTAGAGTTGATCTTATAGAATTGATGAAA